TGAGCCCGTCCCGGTGAGGCCCGCCCCTGGCCGGGGCCGCCATGCTCGCTGCGGACCCCGCACAGCGCTCTCCGTCTCCTCGGAGAGATGTAACAGGCGGATCAGAGAAACTGGAACCGGAGAGATAAGTCCATGTTTGCAGTTTCCTCTTCAAAGCCCTTCACCTCCCCGGTACTTTGTTTTTCTCTCCTCGGCCATACTTTTTTGGGGAGAGGCAAGCTAGTTCAGATACGGTCTGGAGCATTACTTCTGCAGGGTTCTCGATGCTGCAGGCATGGGAACTGTGAACTGGGTCTTTGAGCTATATCTTCGTTTTCCTTTTCAATTTAGGGTTTGCCTATCTAGTGTCTTTTAAGTGGTGTGTATATGTACACAGTTGGAAATCTATGAGAAGTGTGCACACAGCTGCCACCTTTCTGCCCAGCTGTCACTTGCCATAACAGTTAGTAAATCTCCATCAAGTAGTTAGTCTGAAACATCTTCAGTACAGGAAAGGGTCCTACAGCATTTAGCTGTGTAATGACTTGACATCGAACTTGATGTAAATTACACCTGGTGTCACAGTAGCATCCCGGTTAGAGTTCCTCTGTGCCAAAAGTTGAATGGCCTCATAGAGGTTGTTTTTGAAGGTCTATGGTTCTGCTGCTGAAGTTAATACCTAGATCTGTCACTGGGGGAACAGTATTTTCTTAGTGTAGATTTAAAGCCTAACAAGCTAAGGCAGGTGGTAGCGTTGTATTGGGAACTGACTTTAACTTGTGTGAAGACTGCAAGTTCTGTCTTCTCTGAAGTGGTTTTGTTGCTTCTGATGAAGAAGCAACTAAATGGTTTTATTGTTTTGGCCAAAGTCTTCAGAGGGAGTAAAAGATTATAAAAATTCATAAGAAGAAAGCATCTTTGTCACAAAAATCTGTTAGGCCTGCTGTCCTCTAACCGGTTGTGACATGTTTATGCTCTGAGAAAGCTCATTAGTTGTGTGATCTGTTCGGTTACTGGCAAACCAGCCACAGCATGTGCAGCATCTGGTACTGACGCTGTATTTGGGTTGTCCGTTACAGTGGAGGAGAGGGAGTGTTGTATACAAGTGATTGGGAGAAGTGAGAGAAAGTGTGAGTGAGTGGTGAGGGCAGAGGAGTGGTTGCAGAACAAAAATCATTGAGAAATTTAATTACTTTGACTTAGCAGTTCACAAAACAACTGTTTTATATGTGTTGTCTTTTTCTTTTTTAAGGCTGCAGAACTTCGAGCTTACCTGAAATCCAAAGGAGCAGAAATCTCTGAAGAAAATGCTGAAGGTGGTCTTCATGTGGACTTGGCACAAATTATTGAAGTTTGTGATGTGTGCCTGAAAGAGGATGACAAAGGTTTGCATCTTTAATCTTGTTAGTTTTGCTAAACACATTGCGGTGAATGCTTTCAAACAGTAGCAGTTGGCAGAATTTACACATATCTTGCGTGTTAGCACATGGACCTTTATAAAACTGGAAGTGCCTATTTCCATCACTGTTGTGTAAAATCTGCGTGTACTGTGCCCCTCCCTTCTCCAGACATCCAGTGCCCTTTGAAGAAGTCGGAAATCAAGTTAGACCGTGCCTGTTATGAGGGCATAGCGAGTTGTATGTAAAACAGGCTTTCTCTTTGAAATAGAAGTATGGTACAAATAAGACTTCCTGAAAATTCATGGCTGTGATGCTGCAGATCAAGAAAAAGTAACAACAAAAATTAGGACTAGACATCTGTAAGTAGAAGTTGTAAGGCCTAGACATTTACTGATTATCATTGTCTGAAAACACTAGAATTTTCACTATGCAGTAACTCTTTGAGTTAGGCCCGTAGATCCCTAGAAACTGAAGTAATATGTTTTAATGACACTGAGAATGCTGCAGAAGCCTTAAATGATCTTTCTGTGCCTGTTGCCCTTTGTACCAATATACAAATTCTATTTAGAACTTTTATATGTAAAAAAAATCAGTTGCTAAAATGCATAAAATATGTCATTTGAAAGAATACGTGGTTCATCTAAGAAGGAGTACTTAAGATTGTTTTTCATGTTGCCTTGTTCCGTAGGCAAATGAGTGTGAAATGCTGAAGAAGCTTATTGCTCTGCTGTTTGATGTTCAGATGTCATTTCAGGGAATAAATACTACTTTCCATATATAATGGATTTTGTTCTTCCCTTTTGCATAACTGATACTTGGGCAGACTGTGAAAGGAAAATGCAAAACCTGCCTGGTTGTCTTTGGAAAGGAGGTTAAAACAGGAGCTGGGGAGGCTTTTCAATATACTTTGTTCTTGCAGGCATTCCCTGCACTCTGGCTCTCTCTTGTGCTCCTGGGGAAGCGTTTTGCTGTGTGTGAGCACTACGTGTTAAGTGTTCTCACTGTAGAACCGTGGGGCAGTTTTCTGGATGTGCTGGAGGAAGCCAGTTTTTTCAAGACCAAAACCTGAGGTTCTTCTGACTTCTCTTATGTGTGAACAGAGAACTGAGAACAAGTGTGATATCAAGTACCAAAATCTGTTTTGACCCTGGAGTGGTATTTCTTGCTTTACATGGAGATGTGTGGGTGAAAGACCACATGAGCCAAATCTCTGGTGTTAATATCCAAATTGGTTATCTTGGCATTTTCTCCCTTTTACAGTTCTTGCCGATGTAATCGTTTGTAGCAGAAGTAACTCCAGCACTAAATTGCTGCTGCTGGCTGCTTACAGTTTTAAACAGCTGCATGTTTTGTTTTGTGCAGATGTTGAGAGCGTGATGAACAGCGTAGTCTCTTTGCTGCTTATCCTGGAACCTGACAAACAAGAAGCACTGATTGAAAGCCTGTGTGAGAAGTTAGTAAAATTTCGGGAAGGAGAGCGCCCATCTCTTAGATTGCAGTTGTAAGTATTGTAGAGAGGAAAGCGAGACAGTGGTATCTTGCAAAGAAATCCTTCCTCTAAAGAGGATTATCTTATGTCTTGTGTGTCTCCAAATCAAAGTGTGGCGTGTCTGTCAAGATATGTCACGGTTTCATGGTTGCGGGAAGCACTTTCCCTGCCCCCCCATCATAAAATAGAAGTACCAGTATACTTAATTTGCTTGGGTATTGCAAAACTAAAATGTGCAGTTTTCAGCTTTTTTGCTGGAAGCGTTTACCAGCTGTGAAGCCGTTACAATTCGTCACAGCCATAAGGTGCCGCTGGGTGCTTTGTGTGTATTAGCACACATCTTAATAAGAGACATTTATGTGCACCCTCGTAATGTTTTCTGAAACCTCTTTAACTTAGTTGTTCACTGTTTGGGATTTAGACTGAGCAATCTCTTCCATGGTATGGATAAGAACACTCCTGTGAGATACACAGTGTACTGCAGCCTTCTGAAAGTCGCCTCATCATGTGGTGCCATCCAGTACATTCCAACTGAACTAGATCAGGTAATTCATGTGGTCCTTCAAGTTATGGCCTTTGTATTAACCATGTTGCATCTCACAGAGTTGATACAGACCATCTCTCTATAAATTGCCAGAGCTTAGTGAAATAAGAAGGGCAGGATACAGAATTTCTTATCTTTTAAAGGTCTGCGAACAGAATGTAAATCAAGCTGCTGTTTATTTTCCATTTTTGATGCTGAACGTAGTTAGATGTGTCTGTCTGATTCCTGTGATAGCAATGGAAGTGAGAAGCTTTGATCGGGAGTGAGGCATCAAATTCTTATCCCTTCCTCCAGGATCAGAGTGTATTAGAATCACTTATCCTTGTTTAGGAAGTAACATGGACAGCACAGACTTTTGGCTTCTCACAGGAAAATTTCCAGGCTCTCCGTGGGGAGCCTTGAGAGTCAGAAGACCCAAAGGAGAAATCTCTGTGCAAAATGTTCTTAATCCTTTTCTGCTTGAGAGAAAATGAGAAATATTTTTTTATTTTAGTCTTTTTCCTCTGTGGTTCTTTGTCACTTGTATTCTATCTAGGTCCGAAAATGGATTTCTGACTGGAATCTCAGCACAGAGAAAAAGCATACTCTCCTGAGACTGCTGTATGATGTCCTAGTAGACTGCAAAAAAAGGTACGAAAGGCAAGTAATACTAGATAACTGTATTTTAAGTTGATGTATTGTAGGTGATCTGTAGCAAAAGTAGTTCTCATAGCACATTAAAAATTAATCTGTACTGATAAATCAAATGTGCCTGTTTTTATTTCTTTTTATGTTTTTAAGATATGTTAGATTAAGCCAGTGTTGCCAAGGGTATTCAAGTTAGTTGTGAACTAGCTGCAAAGCCAAGACTCCCAAAATAAAGCTATTAATTTCTATAAATATTAATCTTTGAGCATTGTAGCATTATGCCAAGCTTATTATTTAATTGCACTTTTAACATTTTAGTGCATGGTAGTGCTATCTCTGACTTAATGATGTTGGGAGGCTTATCAATCACAGTTGACAGAATCAATCTTTTTATGTAAACATTACCTTTAGGACAGAGCTTTCCACTAGTCATGGAAATTGATGTCCACGGAATACCTGCTTGGCCATTTTAAATTATCCTGGATCACAAGAAGCATCTTTGATCTAACAAACTTGGCAGACCAGTGTCTTCTGGCATGTAAAGTAATCCTGTGTGTATCGTGCCAGTAAATTAATCTAAGTCTTAACTGAGAGCTGTCATCAGTCTATCTTACTGCTGTGATACGGTGTATCGGCCGCACTGGCCAGGGCTGTAGCGATGGGTTGGCATCCAGAAGTAGTCTCAGCGTGTAGTTCCATGGTGGTTTCAGCCTATCTAAACTGTCCCTGCTGTAGTTTGGGATGTGTGTGTTGCTTCCCCTGCCCTTCCCTTTCTCTCTGTTTTCTGAGTTAGTTTTCTAAGTTTTTTTTCATTTTCATTAGAAGTGTGGCAGCATCAGGACCTCTGCACTGCTGACTTACACTGGTATCAGAATGGCACTTGGCTTTTCTACATGTGCGTAACCTTGTGCTGCTGCAGAAGGGAAGAGTTCCATCCTGAACCCACCGGTCCTGTCCTGTCCTGTTCCCTGCAGTGACCAGTACCTGTGCTGGTGTAGGCATTTGTGCAACTGCGTGGTGGATTGACTGCTGAGGTGACCTTGCCAGGGGTTAAAAAATGCAGGTGTTGAGCTGTCATAGGAGGAGGAGAGTTTCGTCTGGCAGGAGAGTTAGCATATTTTGGCCTGGTGAAATTGTAGCCTGGAAATGCTGTGTCAGCATAGCAGGATCATTTTTAACTAAGCTCCATTTAGGGATGATTAATCTTCCTGGAGTGGTTACACTGTAAGCTGCAACATTATTAGGAATTCCTGTTCCTCACTTGAAAATGCTTTTGCATGGATAGTACTGTATGACAGATTTCAGATGGTCAAGATAAATTCAGAAATGTTAATCAGAATCTTATACCTGGCTTAGTGCTTACTTGGATACTCTGTAATGCTCCTACTCTCTTAAACACTTCTCATCCTATTGATTTGAGAGGTTTTAACTAGCTTAATTCACATGCTTAATTGCTAATTATTTTTAGCTAGTCTTACTGTCAAATCGGTGGATTAAACTTCACGTGTTTGTTTCCAAGTGCTGCCAGTAACCTTGCTACCGAATGGCTTTTGCTTACTAATAATAGGTGGTGCTTTTAAGTTAGACATTAAAAACTTTCACACACCCTGTAGTATATTACTCCTGCACTCAGTGTCCTTACCATCTGTTGCAGCAAGCTTTGCATTGAGTGGAGCAATTTTTCAGAGCACTTACACTTCGCTCCAGGAAAGAAAACAAGAAGTGACCCCAGCACCTTTGACCCAGCTCACTCTCCTGGATCAGTGGGCAGTATTTGCAAGAGTATGGGAAACTCACAGCAGCATTCCAGCTTCAGCACTCAGGAATGTTGCTCTATCTAGCAGTATGGGAAGATAAGTGAGAACTGAAAAATACGTAATAAAAATCACACCTTAGTTACTGTGTTGATTTATAATCAAGGGGAAAGAATGCATTGTTGAAAACAACTGAGTTTAAATCCTTTTAGGGTTCGTTTATGTTTTAACTTCATGTAGTGTGGCGGAAGAGATGGTTTTCCATAGCTAACAGTCTTTTCCCCAATGGATAAGTTGGTAGTGAATGGATCGGTAATTCCTGAAAAGTAGATCATGCGGATGTTACGCGTGGTGTTCCTTTTGCTGCAGCGATATGTGAAAGCTTGTTTCATCAAATCTTTTTCGGTCACTTTCTGGTTCAAGTTTCTTCTTTGTGATGACCAAAGTCATCTTGATCTCTTTTGAATTGGGATTTTTATCTTTCCCATGATCAGCTGAAGAAAAATTGGTGGTGGTGGCTGGAAAATAGATGGCTGGTGTGGCTTCTTTCTGAGATCTGTGTTTGGTAGCTGAACTTTGCAAGAGATTAGTTACTTTCTCTGCTGCTTGTGCTCCTTGCCATAAGGTTCTGCAGTAGAGTTTTGTGCCTCAGCTGCTTCAGTCTTCAGCTTTTTCCTAGCTGTGTTGGTATGAAACTGCAAGGTAACACAACCTGTTTTCTTTTCCATTTATAGATGGAGATTTACAGGCATGTATGGCTTGCACGCAGCCAGAGAGCTGAGCTCTGCTGTGAGGCCCTGCCAGGCGCCGGCCTGATGCAGCTTAACGCTGGTCTCTGCCATTGACCTGGCAGGATTCGGAGTGGGATCAGTCCTGCCCCAAATTTACAAACAGGTCTGGCAAGTCTGGTTACTAATACGTGTAGCAAGAAGCTCAGCATGTCAGGCACCTCCAAAAGACTTGTTTCATTTAATTGATTCAAACAACTTAGTAAGTCTCTGAATACTATATTTCTTTTTCTTCCTTTCATCTACCATCACTCTCACTGGCTTTTTGTCAAGTTATGCTTCTAGACTGGCAAGTGGACCCAAGAGTACTTGTGCAAGCTGTATTGCTAGGAAAAATGTTCACATTTTCATTTTAGGTGAGATATGCACTTAGCAATGAGCTTTGGTAAAATAGTGATCTGTATTACTGCTTTAAACATCCTAATTTTCGGTAGTAATCTGACACTGGATAGAATGAATAAGATATAAAGGCCTGCTGTATTTGCTGAGGCTGACAAGAATTTAGCACAGGAAGTTTGGGAGTCTTGTGTTTTGATGTTTCCTAGAAATACAAGTGAAAGATTCCACTCCTTCCCAGCTGGAAGGAAAAAGGAAAAAAAATAGGTGGGGAGATTACAAATACCATCTGAAATTTGTTAAGTTCATCATTTTAAATTTTAGCTCCTAAGGGGAGTGAGAGAAGAGGCAAATTTCCAGAAATCTGTAACACAGTTCTGAAGTGTGTAAGAAAACTACTGAAAGCTTGGATTAAATAGTCTTTTATTAGCACATGAGCTGAGCCTCTTTGTTTAAATGTCTGTATAGTATTGGTTCTGTACTGACCTAGTTCTTTGTCTTCGCTAGAACATCTAGTGTTGATAAGGTTTCACCAGTGCAAAAATCATAGTCTGTCATAGGCTGATTTACTTGCAAGTGGTTCTTTCATATATAAAGCCGTCTAAATTAATTTTATTTCACCGCTAAAGAGCTATCAGTTCCTCTCCACAGAAGTATCAGTGGCCACAACAAAACATAAGATGACCTCTTTAATGCTGGAATCTTAAATGTTTCATTCAACTGTCTTCACCCAATGTGCATCCAGATGATGTATGCTGTTGCTCGTTTCCCACCATGTCCTAATATTTGTTCTGCACATCTATGAGATCTGGCAAATTCTCTAGCAGCACAAAACCTCCCCCTATAGAGAGGCTGTCAACTGTTAGCATTGTGAGATTTAAAATAAATACCAGTATAAAGATAGCAGCATTGTACTATAAAAAACATTCAGACCTGTGCTGCTCTATGGGTTAAACCCATCTGGGTTAAACTCAGTACTGGGAGCACTGTGTTGGTTTGTCCCGTCCCTGTGCAATTTACACCATTAACTTAATTACTTAAAGTGAAATGAAATTTTATTCTTTCACAGTTGTTTTGGGTTGTTTTGTTGGTGGTGGTGTGTTTGGGTTTTTTTAAGGAGAATATTGTAAGCCCGTTAGAACACATGGGGAAATTTGTTGTATCTGGAAGAAATGAGCTACTTGAAGGAAGAGCTTAACTTTAGCCCGTAACTCACTGTACTCTGGAGAGTAGTGTCCAGCCTCCCTTCTGCCTACTGAGAAAGTAGCTCTTAGTAAAGTAGTTGCCAGTCCGTGTGTGTGCACGGGAGACTTCTGTGAAGCAGACACATCACCGAGTTTTGGTCATATCTACATCCATGCCCTGTCTTCTTCAAAGGGAGCAGTATGATGGCATCAGCAAAATCTGTTCTCTGTGCAGAAGTGTCATAGCCTTCTCTTTTAACAATTAACAAGAATTCCATAATAAATAGGAAATAGCTTTTTCTGTGTATACACACAGAATATTCAGTGTGTATAAAGCATCAGCAGTGGCTGGCCTCACTTGTGATAAGAACTGTTCTGTGAAAAAAAATTCAGAATCTGTTAAGATGGCACAAGTAACAGTCTCAGAGCTGGTTTGCAGTAACATTGATGAGCTGTTCTTCACAAAGTAATCTGGGTAGACAAGGCCGTAGGTTTTATTTGATTATCTTAGAGTGAGTTGTTTTTCTAAAAACTGTCAAAGTAATGTTGGAAGCTGCTTGCCTCACAGTGGCCTAAGCCTAATTGCTGGCTGCTTAACTTTGTCAGTAAAATGAGCAGCTTTCACTCTGAATACTTGACGAGAGCATCTGTGAGAGAAGAAAAGGCAGTTTTTATACAGTCATTTTTCTGACCATAAATATTCTTTAAGATATGCCATTTTACATTTGAAATAAACTTTACAGCGCTACTTATTCTTCAATGATTAAATCCAGATGTGCATAAGAGGAGCATTCTAGTGAACCATATAAAGCTGTTCCTAGCTCAGAAAGCTTTTTCCATAACCAGCAGGTAATTTATCAATTTAAGAGAATGAAATGAAGGGTGAAGATAAACATTTTGTAGAACAAGAATTGAAAGAATACGTCTAGTTAATTTGTTCTCTCCACTAGAATTAAAATGGATCATCTACATCTTTTTCAAGTGTAATTTAATTTGACCTATAACATCATAGTGGAGTTACTGAAATATCTGAGTGTGTTGTTTGAACTATTTTTTTCAGCAATCCAGAGGTAACTTTATTTTTTCTTCTATAGTGACACTGCGGCAAAAGTAATGGTGGAACTGCTGGGAAGTTACACGGAGGACAATGCTTCCCAGGCTAGAGTTGATGCTCACAGGTAATACTGACGTCCCAGTTGGCTGAAAAGTGGCTTTTTCTTGATTGCTGAATTACATTGATCACCTTGCTGTTAAGAGTATTGACTGTCCTGGCAGGCAAGGGCCTCGCCACAGCCTCTTCTGTAGCACAGCTCACTGTGTCGGGAGTTGATGTGTGCAGGCTGTAGCAGGTTTGGCTGTTTCTAGGCAGTCACAGCATCACAGAGCAGTGGGGGTTGGAAGGGACCTCCAAAGATATCTAGTCTAACCCGCCTGCCAGAGCAGGGTCACCTCAGGCTTACTCCATTGGCTAAGTGTAGAGGTGTGTTTCTGGTCACTGCTGAGACAGACATCAGCCTTGGTTAAGGATTTCGTTTACATCAGTTGTACAATTAGAATTTGAATTGGCATCTCTTATTTTAGGTTATTTACTTACTGATTGCGTGATTCTCTAACTTTTGAGTGTTCTTCTAAACCAAAAGCACTATTTCAAAAGAAATTGTTGCCCTCTTTTCTGGGAGCAAGTACTAAGGATGTGAACCGCACAGAAATAATTTGTTGGACAAGTTGGGAGTAAATTGAGTCTTAACAGTATATGTTCCCCACTAACAACAATAAGTAAAAGCTTGTATTTTTGACATTCTACCTATCATGATTCTTCTTAGAAATTAGATTTTTAACAAGTCATATAGTTCTGCCAGGTGTGTACAACCAGTAGTTCTCAAGGGAGTGGTTTATACTGGCGCATGGAGGAAAATCAGGCTGACTCATTTTGAAAACTGAAGTGTCTCGTGTGTAGATGAAAACTTCATCGACTATGCTGCAGCAGTTGGAAGCCTTTTACATTTGCAAGAGCACGTCTACCTGGGGTTTATCACATCGCTGTGCCTGTGCAGCCCTTGGGTTCTCCTGCGTGCGTGTTCTGCGGCAGGGGTGCGGTCTGTGCTGCCGGGACGAGCGTGGTGCTAAGTCTTCTAATGTGCCGCTGAACAAAAGCTTTCATCTAGAGTTCTAGAAACACTTCAGGTCTGTTTATAGTCTGGAGCTGCAGTGTTTGGTGCTGGGGTTTTCTCTGTTTTGTGTCACATATGTAAGCGTAGTTAATCTTCCTAAACAACTATGAAATTTTAGGAGGACAGTAAAAATACCTCTAGGAATGAAGGCTGGGCTGGGAATAAATGCATAGATGGAAACAGTAGGGTGAGCTGTAGTCTTAGCCCCTGGTAAATTACTTAATGCTTTCTGTTCCTTGTTTTTTCCATCTGTAAAATAAAGATTAATGTTTGAATGTGACAGTCTTACATTTAAGAATAGTTGAAAACCCATGGGTGTTTCCTAGAAAGCAAGGAGCAACAAATTGGGTTGCACTTACTCATAGAAATGTATATTGCTGTAAAAATAAGCATTTTCCTTTTCTAATTAGATGTATCGTACGAGCATTGAAGGATCCAAATACCTTTCTCTTTGATCATCTTCTTGCCTTAAAACCAGTCAAATTTTTGGAAGGAGAACTTATTCATGATGTAAGTAACTTTGTTTTTAGCAAGGTGGCTTGATATCTGTAGAGTGCCTTGTTTTATTAGTGTCTTTTGCAATTCATTAGAATAGATAGCTATGTCAGTAATATTGAGGTGTGATGTACTATTTCTTTTAATGCTTTTAAAATTTAAAAATGAAAATATTTTTACTTGTGGAATGTTTCCCTTCAGAACTTTCAGAAACTCAAGAGTTACAAATCCTGCCCTCACATGAGTTCTGTAGCAAAAGTGCCTGTCAGGTCTGAGGAAACAAAGTAACCTCAGCACAGATTGCCCACAACTATTGACAGAAGATGATTTTAGCTCTTCAGGGTTTATTTTTCTCTTAAACACCAACAGTTTATATAGATCTATATATGATCAGTGTGCAAGGAGGACATTGGTAACATTTGAACTGTTCTTACATTTGTTTTCCACCTTCTAGCTTTTGACGATTTTTGTAAGTGCTAAACTAGCTTCCTATGTCAAGTTTTATCAGAACAACAAAGACTTCATTGACTCCCTTGGTAAGTTTTGAGATTGTTGCATTTCTGACTATTTTACGTGCCTTAAGATGTGAAAGATGCAAAGTGCTTCAGTTTGAACCCGTATATTGAAGCTAAGGAAATTAATAGGAATTTTTAAGACAGGATAAGGGTTTGTGGACTCCAACGTCTACTGGATTGTAAATGGACCATCTACTAGGACAAGCTGTTCCACCGATCTCCTTTCCTCTTAAACCTTTTGGGGGGGGAATTTTAATGCACTGATACTCTACGCTAGGCCAGAGATCACAACTTTACTGAGTAAGCCAGCAGCTTGTATAAATCTCTTACAATTTTCTTTATGATTAATAACTTTATAACAGCAAACACTTCTCCTGAACAGAAAGATAAAACATGCAAATAGGGTGTGTGTGTGCTGATGCATTAGACCTAGCAAGCCAGTCTGTCCCAGTTAATTTGTTTCATCACATGAAGCAATGTGATGGAATGTTAATGTCAGCACCCTCTTTATTTACACACTGTGGAAAAAAGGAGTAGTAATTAACACTTTGACACTCCCCCGTTGATGTGTAATTGACTGTTTCAAAGGAGCACTGGTTCATAAGCTATTGCATGCATTAAAATTACGTTTTTTATATTCCAGCTTTTTAGGACAGGGGTCAGTGACAATGCAGAAATTGCTCAATGATGCAAATTTTTTTATTACTGCATTAAGGTTTTGACATATTGGTAATGAATAAATGTTTCCATAAAAATCAGATTATTTTTTTTTTATAACTTTGATTTTGAAATGACACTTGAACGCTGGCTGAATGCATTTGAGGAAAGGCATAGTTTGGCTAAAACAGTTCAGTGCAGCCTTTTAACACATGCATTATTTTGTTTAATGGAGTGTAGTATAATTCTGAGAATAATTACCCTCAGTGCTTTAAAATACTGGTACTTTGGGTATTAAAATGGAAATACCAATGTGATTTTTTTGTGGATAAAACCAGCAGCAAATTTTTGGTAGTTTGTAAACATATATGTAGGATAAGCATACCTTTGAGCACTATCTGTGTAGACATCTTTCACTTTTATTTCTTAGCAGGAAGTGGATTTTGTGTAATTATTTAGTGATTATTTTTATGTATTGAAATGGCTTATATTTTAGTTATTTGTCCACAGAAGCATTTGCTGAAAATATGCTTGTTATATAAACATTTGAATGGAAGATTAATTACAATGTATATAGTATTAATTATATAATATACAGTGGTCATAATTTCTTTTAGTTTGCCTCCCTCTATCTGTGTTTACCTGTGTGACTATACAGCGTGTGCATTTTCAGTGTACCTGGGCTTCACATAATCTTAGTACAGTCCAGTCCTTAAACACCTGTGTCCCTGTTTTGAAAGACAGCCTTACCTTGAGTTATCGTGATCTCTCACCTGCTTTTTTCTGAATGTCTCTGAGCAGTGGACAAGGTAGAGATTCCGAGGCAGCACACACTGGAATGCCAGGAGCTTGGTCTGAGTGTTTCAGCCTTGTCTTTGGAAGACAAGGGCAGTTTGGTAAAGAAAACAATGCAGTCATTAGATGAGGTTTTCTTCAGCACACCTATGCTCTGTTCCCCAAAATAGATTTTTAAGCATGCTTTAAAGACTTTTTTCCTTTTTCAAATAGCTTGCCAAGGTAGTGGCCTTTAAATTAAAGGTATTGCTAATGGGTTTTCAGTGAGAGTACAGCATCAGCTTGAGCTCTAACCTTTCCTGGCTCAGGACCAATTACGAGGAGCCCAGCAGAGCTGTGCAGGGAGGGCTCCTACAGGTGGCATCAGTTTGTTACAATTTGTTGTTTTATTAATGCTGACAATTTAGGCCAGCAGTAGCATAATCTGTGTCAACTGAATCGCCCTAACATGTCCACATTTAATCTAGTATTATCAGCAGTGTTTTTCGGAAGTTAATCAGCATCTCATTTGCATTTGTTAATTAGGGTTAATGTGTGCTAATTGATTTTTTGATGCTTGTAGAGTTCCATTAAACCCAGTTAGGTATAGTTGCTGGTGCTCCTCATTCGTATGAATTATGGTCATCACATTTTTTGTTGAATCAGTGCCAAATAGGGAACCTGCATCATAATTATAGCTAATTAAGACAACACGATGTCCTGCGCTAATGAGCTTTCCTATTAGTGTATGGATGTTATAAATTCCAAACCTAAATATTTACTGAAGCAATGTGAGTGTTTATGTCATTCCAAAACAAAATGATTGACATTCATTTCAAAGAAACTTTCACCGAGTATCAACTGGTACCTCACAGAGCCTGGATTAACAAATGCCTTGAATGGCTTGAATTTGCTGACCTAGGGTTTGTTGGGGTTTTTTGTTAGGTTTGTTGGGGTTTTTTAGGAAAATGGTCTCTCGTTTAGATGTGCAAGCCCTTAGCTCAGTGCCTCACGCTGCCATGCATAGTCGTGTAAAAGATCTAACCCAACTTTTAATATCTGTTCCTCTATTCTTGAAGGGCCCTTTCTTGCCTTGCTAGATGCTGTAAGCAGATATGTGACTCATGATACTTTTTTTGCTGTGCTATAAACAGTTAATTTGGTGCCAAAACACATTCTTTTGGCACAAAAATACTATGTTGCTAAACCATTACTGAGAGAGGTTTATTTTCAAGCAACTACATGAGAATGAGTGACCAGGTTGTAAGGAGGTTTTGACGTTACCAGTCCTGTGCTTTCCAGTTGTTGTTGCATTGTTGTTCTTCCAGGTGAAGATTCACTTGCATCTTCACCACCTAAAATTCTGTAAAGGTGATGCACTTCACTTTAGCTTTTACCTTTTACTGACAACGACCAAGTCTTGGTGAATTCACAACTAAATTTTTAGCAAAACACAAGGAACATGCAGGAATGAATGTTTTACCTCAAAAAAAAAAAAATTGGTAAGAACAGGTAGAATAATTTCCTGATGTGAAATTATTGGAAGCGTGTATATATGTATTAAAAACTTTAAAACAAAATTAATTATTATTCATATCAACAAACTATTAACACTTCTACACAGGCTTGTTGCATGAACACAATATGGCAAAAATGAGGCTACTTACTTTCATGGGAATGGCTGTCGAGAATAAAGAAATATCATTTGAGACAATGCAACAGGAACTTCAGATCGGAGCTGATGATGTAGAAGCATTTGTTATTGATGGTAAGAACTACAGTACCATACTTCACACTTGCCAATGAACAATACCTTTTATAGTCTTCTAAGCTGATGTTAAACATTCAGAAAAATATTTATTTTTAATTTCTGTGTTAAAAGATAAAGCTGCAAAACTTCATGCTTTAAGACATGCCTAACTGTTATCTTTAAACAGTGTTTTTCTTTTCAGTGATGGGAACTGTATTCCATGTAATTCTTTACAGAGGTAGTAAATGAGCTGTAGGTTTAATTTGTCATCTGGTTTTGTTTGCTGTCATTAAAACAGGATGTGTTTTTAGGGAAGAGAAGTTCAAAAAAACCGTACAGGATATTGCTTTAATAGATTGGCACCAAAGAATAGGATTCATGCATGACCTTCATCTTGTTACGTCATTTTGCTTTTCTGCCTACTAGACTGCTAAAACTCAACAGCAAAACACTATTAAGGGAACTGCTGTGGCTTTATGATTGTATTGATCTAATTCTGAGCAGTTTCTATGCAGTTTAATATCTTTGCACTACGTTGAAAATATTGCTCAAAACAGCATTGCTTTTTTTGCAGCTGTAAAGACAAAGATGGTATACTGCAAAATAGATCAGACACAGAGGAAAGTAGTTGTCAGGTACGACTTAATTCTTCATAGCATTTGCAGAACTTAGTGTGTTCTAATTATTTCACTTACATTCGTAGAATATTTTAACTAGAAGCAAGGTATTGTTCCTGTCAGTTGCTGGTAGTTAAATAGTTGCTATTTATCATAATTTTATTAAAGCTCACACTGAATGTGATTAGCTTATTTAATGAAAGAGTCCTATTTTCCAGCACATTTCATTTAATGACCTAATAGTGACAAGAATACTAATGACTGTTGTTGATTTAAATATTTGGGAAGGCTACAGAATTCTGTAACTGGTAAAGTGCAGCCCTTTATATAGAGAAAATAAAAATTGTCCTGTATAAGAGTAGAGCAATGCTATAAAAGAATTATGAGGTGAGCATGACATCTAGTAATCATCTTTCACTTTTGTTTTACTTCTCTAGTCACAGCACACATCGGACTTTTGGAAAGCAGCAGTGGCAGCAATTGTATGACACTCTAAACACCTGGAAACAAAATTTGAATCAAGTGAAAAACAGTCTCCTCAGTCTCTCAGACACCTAAAAATATTTTCATCTAGTAATGTCACTATAGATGAAATTTATTCAAAACCTTGACAATTTGTGAATGTTTGCAAAATGTATGCAATTGGTTTAAAGGAGCTAAATATTCTAAATGGCAACATAAAAGAAGCAATAAAACTAAACATGGGAAAACATCAGCTGTTGATTTTTCTTATGTAATTAGCAACAACAAAGAGTGGCAATATTGGTTACACTTCTCTTGGTCTTATTTAAGTTTACAGTATGAGGATTTTTCTTTGCAAGAGATTTGGGGAGGAGAGGAGGGAGATCAGAAAAACTTTAGTGTGAGTAATTGTAAAAGAAGTGAAAATTTCCCTTGTACCTTAAGGGTGGAAAAATGTGAAGCAGGTAGAAGTGAAGCTTTATGAAGCAAGATCTGCTGCCCCATCTCCAATTCATACGTGATACGTTAGTGTGGAAAGAGACTTTGTTGATGCAGAATCAACTACAACAGATAAATAATTTGGCAGTAAAGGTAAGCAGATTATCCTATTCTGCCATGACTTAATGGCTGTTGTAAATGATTGTAGAAACCATTGTACTCTGAAACAGTTGTAGCTGATCTTGCTGGAAAGCTGAGTGAGCAGTCTGACAGAGAAACCAAATCGAAGTATTTCAGCCAAAACTGAGGAGCAGGAGAAGGGTAACTTAAATAACTTTTTAATTTTACTTAATGGATATTAAAACATTAACTGGTGAACTTCTTATCTTTGGGCATAACCCATAATATGGATTTGATTGCAAAAAGAGAGCTAACGTTAATAGGGATTTTATCTATTTTTGAACATTAAAATAAAGGGCTATTCTGTATTGAACATCCTCTACGGGAATAACTACAAATCTGGTTTACAAGAATGATTTTTCTGTCTAGCTGTCTATCTCCTGCCACTGATCTTCACTGGCCTTCTTCATATTTTCTTTTTCTTGCTGAATGAAGTCTCTCCAAGTTCAGAAATTTCTCAATTTCTTCTATTTGGCTTTGCATAATGGAATTATGAAGAGAACAGTTGTCCTCATCTCTCACTGCACTTTCATTTCTGGCTCGTGTTACAGTCATGGGAGAAGTCTTCTGCTCATGCTTTAAAGCAGTATATCCTCTAACCTGACAGAATACAGAATTAGTAGTTAATAATCCAGTGAAATTCAGGTACAGAGGTTCAAATTGTTAGATTTGGCTGAGTATTTAGTAAGCAAGGAAACATGAACAGAATGGTAAATTGATCAGAAAAAGCATGTTTAATTTGAAGTGCTTTCCTCAGCTTTAATTTAGAAAACTTGATCATGACAAATACACTTCTATAAAACCAAATCTTAACGTAAGACTTAGTATGGAAGAGTAAGCTTAAAAAAAAAGACAACCTTGTACGAGGATGCAGATTAACAAAATAAATAGTTTAATTAAAGAGTTTAATGTGGCAATTGACATTTCTATTGCTGTGCAAGCATTTCATTAACAAACCCCAAAATCATGAGGTTTATAGTGTTAACTCCCTCTGCTTCACTGTCTAGATTCAAAAGCAAACATTAATGAATGCAAGGTCTGTAATAGGTTGGTTTTTTACATTAAAGGTATTTTTGTTCTCTGAATAGTTTTAATTACTGTTTGATAGCTACTTCATTATCTATCCGAATCAAATGCATATGGCAACACAGTAGGGAAGCAGTTTCTTGCTTGAATGAGTTCTCTGCTCGGGATCTAGCACTGGCTCTGGGGGAGGGCGGCGTGCAGGAGGGGCACACCACAGCCCTGTCACGCAGAGCCAGGCGGCAGCGGTTCTGGGGGTCTGTAACGTCACATCCAGTATTTGGGTTGCAGGCTAGGGTACTTCTCGTAGAGGCATCCCAAGATTAGGGCTTCCCCCTCTGCTCAATTATTTTTCAGTATTAGGCAGCTGTGCCCCAACCAACTGTAAGTCACAAAGTCTTTATCAGACCTGGCTTTATTTTGGCACAAGTGTTTGTGCTAAAACTTTCCTTCCCCACAATGCACAAGCATTTCTTGAAGTTCGGACAATAAGCTTCATGCAAGTTGTTCCCTTGGACTGTTGCATCTGTAACAACTTCACTGCCATGCAGCTGAAGATACCGATACTTCAGGTCAGTAACGGCTATCATCTCCATTTCAATGAGAAAGTAACTTCGTAATTTGAACAATAAAATTTTCAGCCTGTTAATTCTAGTGGTGATATACATACACTTGCCCATGTTCTTTCCCAGGCCCTCAGAAACAGATCGTACTTCATTGCAAGCCACTGGTCAAAATCTCTCTGGAATAGCACGTGAGACTGCATCTGTCCTGTACTAATAATCCAAGAGAAATCTTCCATTTAGGTCTTCCACATGTGGAAGTGAAATTTTCCAGTGAAATGAAGCCATGCTACGTTACTTGGATTATACTGAAGACAACAAGCATTTAGAACCCTTTGGGGAAGTGATTACAGGTGTGTAACAAATACATGTAGCATTTTACTGCAGTTCTGTGACACTGGGTTTAGAATAAATCTCAGATGTCAAACTAAAAAGCCTCAGCATTTTCAGAATAAAATACAAGTAAAACCTGTGTCTTACTGCCGCAGAACTAGGCAACTTAAGGGACACATAAGTGTAAAAAACACTAACTGCTGAATAGCATGACAGCACAGTTAGGGACTTGTGTTTAAACTGAGCTGAGAGTGCTTATTCCTCCTTACCTTGGTACTCAGGCATGTACAGACTAACACTTAAAGCGGTTCTTCATATACGTTTTACTAAAATTTTAAGTGCACCTGTAGCATTTCTTTTTAATTTTTAGGACTTTTTAGAGTACTGTACTTAGGCTGAATAAGGTTACCCAAATTGTAGAAGGTATAAATCTGCTGTAGTTCTAATCATACATGTTAGACAAAACAAATAAATGGGACAGCAAAAAAAGCCACCGTTGAGCCTATTTTTAATCTCCCAACAGCTTTTTTGCATCGGTTATAAAAGTGACAAATGTGAGGACAGAAGGTATTAGAATGACACCAACACAGAAGGGAGGGAGTGGTCTGCAGTATCCCAGACTGCGATTTCATAGACCACGTATTTGGAAAACAGTCTGAGGCCAAAGCAGCGCGGCGCTCTGCTCTTGTCCATCTCACCTTTTAGCCAGCATGGAAGGAGCTTTAGTTTGGAGGTAACAAAGTAGATACAACCACAGTGATAATGAAATAACAGCTTTGTATTAGCTGTAGATTAGGTATTTTAGTTCGCTCAGTTCCTGGCTCCACCTCCATAAGAAAAAGCAAGAGAGGCACAGCAAGTACCACCATTACTTTTGGTGAAAAATCCACCTCACTGTCATTCCCAAGTAGGGTCATATTAGCAAAGTTGAGTAATTTAAAACATTAGTCTTCTGAATTTCAGAGAATGTGAGTGCCAATGTCATTGTGAGCTGATTAAAGTCCCCTGAAGCCAGCCAACTTTGTCACTTGCAAACTATATACCCTGACCTCAAACCTCATCCAAAGATGACAGCCATAACTACCGGAGAAATGCTTTTGGAACCTCTTCTGAAAAGGAAAGGCCAACTGCAGTTGTAAATGATAGTATCGCTTTTGAGCAGTATGTTTACCATTAGGGCTAACAGAGCAGTTGTACCTGCGGAAGCTCCACTGTCTAACATAGATGTAAAAATGCGATATGAGCCGTTGCTAGTGCCATCCGTCATACAAGGAAACAATAGGTTTCTTTTTAATTCTCTACTTTTACACATTTTTGTAATGTCATCCTACTAACTATTAAGATCACTTTAAAGATGGCAACTGCAGAACAGAATAAACAGATAGGCTCTTATTCATATATATTCTGAACTTCTAGTCTTTCACAGATTCTTTAACATGTTCCTATCAAGCTATCAAGAAATAAACAATGTTTTTGTAGTTCTACATAATGCTTTTTTTCTTTTTTTTTTTTAAACTACTTTTACTGTAGGTGATGATTTTTGTCAGGGTACACAAACTACCTTCTTCCTCCCCTCCCAAAAAGACTGGTTAGCATCTGTTTGATTCATAGGCTGTGACTTTTTCCTGCTGCTTTCTATCAACCTTAATTGTGAAAAACGGTGCCTTGTTGCCCTTTTGATATTATTTTGGAGATTGACTCAGTCTTAAAGTATCCAGATGCGTACAGTTGTACAAATATCTGCGGAATTAGCTCACTAAGGTCTGGTCCTGCAGTGTTTTTAATTGACTTACATGTTCTGTGGGAAAAGAAGAATCATAAAAAGTCTTTGCTGTAGCATTCCTTTCTTCACTAGGGTCTCCCTGGGGGTCTCGGTGGATACTAGAGGTATTCAAAGTGTCGGCAGCTCTGTTAAAACTGGTAGAACCTGATTGACAAAAAGGAAATGGTAACAACTGCAATTTAGTCTCTAGGCACTAATTGTAACGTAACAAAATTTCTGGTTTACCTCTGATCTTAAATATTTGTTTTAAATCACTGAATCTCTGTTGTAGGCTTTTCCCTCTTCATTTTTTTCTTTCACATACTTTTGCATCTGTCTCTAAATATGAGGTATGTTTCTACTCAGATTAAAAATGTTTTATATAATTTCACATATTAAGTTAGTGACATTAAAATTGTGATTTATGGAAAATGCATAGTGATAATTATTCTGATAGTGATAATAAAACACAATTTCTGCCATCCTGATATCATATTCCAGGGATAATAAATGTAATAAAAATTCTAAATACTAAAGGTAGGAAAGGCAAGTAAGTAGATTAACCACAGCAGAGTATAAGGCTCCAAGCCTGCAGCGACTCTACGCACTAAACACTCACAGACTCCACTGAAACCGATATAAAGTGCCTTGCAAGATCAAAACATAAATGTACTTTCACAATTACCCACAGTGCAAACTTTGTGACTACACAAATGCCTGTAAATCACTGCTACAATAGTAAAATTTCTGTTTTGCTATGAAAATACATGTTACTTCATGGTTATGTAACAGTTAATTAAGACTACTGTCGTTTTCTCTTGGGAGGAAGAGGAAAAAGGTTATGAGCTTGTGTTTGTTTTCTTTTCTAAGAGTTTGCCAGGAACATCTTGCCCATTCCCAGTTCATTCCTCCATTTACTGATGTGGAGTGGCTGCTCTCTGGGAACCAGAGTTTATATATAAATAGCAAATTGTATTGTGGTTAAGCAGTTAAAGGGATTCCCTCAGATAGGCTTACTAAACTCTTTCACCAATGCCCTTCATCTTTAGGTCTCCCATATGGCTGAACTGTTTGTGCTTCAGTAAGTAAAATAGAATAAAATTTTAAAAAACAAAAATAAGGGTGCTGTTCACATGGATTCCACTCCAGGTTTGCCATTTTGGAAAATACCTGCAAACAAAACGCAACCACATATATATAAAGAAACGAGACAGCTTGTTTTGTGTCTCGCTGCTACAAAGCTAAGGGATGGGAGTCCATTCTGTGCTTTGCACGTTCAGGGAACAAAGCTCGTGAGACTGCATCATCAAAACCTCAAATAAAAACAACCCCCCTATACTGCGGATATAGCTCTTCTGCAAAACATCTAAGCACCCAAAGCTCCATTCTTCTACAAAAGTGGGTGCCTTCATTTCTGCCAGAGCCCCAGAGATCATCTGCTTTTTTAAGCTTACAGCATTCATTAAGGATAGAATCCACCTGTAAGGTTTATTTTGAAAAACGAAGGCACCACTCTCCAATTACTGAAGTAGAGGAACATCTCTAAACGTACTGGAGCCAGCTTACTGTGGAAATAGAGATACTTTTATTTACTTTGGTAAAAGACTGAGTTTAGAAATGGCAATTTTAGTAAATAAAGTGTAAGCTAGCAGCTAACTTTCTTGCAAAAAAAATCTAAAATATACACTTTCTACATTTCAGTAATGATTTAGAAACATGGAATAAAGTTCACATTTACTATTTTGCATATGCAAAATATTGCTCAGTAAATGATCACCAAGTGCCAACAGCAGATCAAAAAGCTCCCTGAGCACTTCTAACAGAGAGGTGTGTTTGCCAGAGCTTCAAAGAACATCAGCTTCTTACACGCATTCAGCACATTCAGATGGCCTTAAGTTGTACAATAAAATAAAAAAGTAAACTTTCTCTAAGCCTCATGCAAAGAAGCATCTACTGGTTAAAAAACTACCCTAATTTTTACACAGAACAAGGGCACTGACTCATTTCCAAAAGCTGCTCAGTGCTTTTTGGATATATGCAGAGCCCTGGTGGAGTAAAAAAGAATCAGAACATTTTTCTAATGCTAAACTTAACATACGGAAATATCCCATTTTGATAATTTTTCTAAGTATACTCAGTACATGCTTCAAAACATAAAAGCTTATTTTTCCTACCTTGTTCTGTTTCTCTTCTGTCAACATTTTCACTAAGATTTTGACATTGTGTTTCTGAAATAAACTTTGTGTTTTCCACTAAGCATGGTAGCTTCTCTTTCAAAAGGGAAGGTTCTGGGTAAGCTGAAGTCCATGTAGCCTGACCTCTCATTTGATTTACTCTCGAATGGGAACTGAAGTCTAAAAAATTTAAGTATACTGGAGTTTTCTCAGCTTTTTTATCTGAGGTTGAAAGATCAAAGGATGACCTTCCACTTATGTTTACTAAATTTCCAGATGTTCTCATGGGTAAAGAGCATGATTCTTTCAGGTGACCCTCAGCAAACTTCCTTCCTGGAACTGTACTATCCAGTGAGTCTTTTTTCTCTTTTAACAATATGTTCTTCGTTGAATGATTGATCTCTGGGGAATGTCCATTTTTGATGGAGTGTATCTGAACATCATCATTAACTCTTGTACATGGAATGAGCTTATCTGTACTAATTCTATCTATTGGGGTTTTTTTATGAGCAATTATTTCAACACCATCAGCTTTTACTGGAGATGCATCTTGTGTGTTCAAAGCACGTGTGTTTGTAGCATTCTCAGTTTGTTCAGTACCATCTTGTTCAGGTTGCTTGCTGCACACGTCATCCACATTTATTCCTGTTTTGGGGGGGCATAAATTGGAAGTACCCAAGAGAGACACATCATCACTGCCTGTATTATCACAGTAAACAGCTGGTAGATCTTGAGCATCAGTTGCTGGAACACCGGTACTCCTCAGTGCACTGCTTACGTTTCTGGCGTTGTCATCATAATTTCTGTCTTCAGGATCTATGTCTGTCTGTTTGAAAGGAAGCTTCTCTCTGTTTAAACTACTCAGATTTAACACGTTTTTGTCTGGGTTATGTAATCTATTGCCTACATAATTGTCACCATCCAGCAAGCTACATTTTTGATATTCCTTCTGAGAGTTTTCGTTAATATAAGGTGGGATGCCAAAACTTAATTCCTTAGCTTGGCAATTATCTGTACTTGTCTCACACAAAACATTTTTCTCGGTGCAAAGAACTGCTCCAGGCTCCATTTTGGGTGCTTCAGGCGTAAGGACACTGGGATTTGCTTTACCTGCCTTAGTACTGGTTGATTCACCTGTAGCACTACATGATTCTTGCTTGCTAGAATTGGTCTCCTGACTTCCATTTTTCTTGTAGGCACCTACAGTGTCAGCACTGTCTAAAAAGACCTTTCTTTGTGCGTGGCATGCTGCCAGCGGCTCAGTGCTGTCCTGTAGCTTTGCTTCTAAAGCTGCACTGTTTTCATCCAGTAACATTCTACACGGTGCACCTAGATTTTCTGCTTCTTTGCACTCTGTGACATGTATTTCTGAGGTCTGTCCTTGGGTAATTAAATCAGTATCTGTGCAGAGGGTATTCCTGGGAGAAGCCTCCCTTTGTTTTTCTTCATAAGGGCTAGCAACATTAACTTCATCCTTAAAATTGTTCTCAAGAACTAGTAAACCTGTTAGAGGAAGTGTATTCTCTAGTTAGTGATAGATTACCCAGAGGTTAAGTAATGCTTTGTTTTTGTAGTTTAAAATTTCCAAAGAGAGAAGACTATTGATACTGATTTTTCTTGTCTTGCATTACACGCACAAGTCTATCAAAAAGTTAGTGAAGATAACTATTGCATTATGGTAATTTGCAAAATATTTATAAACTGTTCAGACAGAAAATATATTAACATTCGGTAGATTTTTTATATGGCTTATAGTCGAAATATTTCCCAACTGCTATGTCAGCCTTATTAGTGAAAGGGGCCATTGTTACATAACACATGCTTAATCAACCATTGTGTGTCTACATAAAGTTTAAACGACTGGTTACTACTACAACTGTATTTGTCTTTATTTTTGGAACTGACATTTTTAGGTAAATGGAAAACAAAACAAAATATTTAGAGGACTCTGTTCATACCAGAAGGTATGTACTGTGACTTGGTGGGAGTGGGCAAGTGAGGAATAACAAGCATTTCCATATCACAAAGGTGTTTTCTAAAAGATACACTCGAAGGCTGTAAGCGTGGATCTTGCAAAGCTGCCACTTCCCGGTTAATAGAATTCTAAATTTCCACCTATCTTTGCTACGTCTTGGAGTCCAAGCATTAGAGATTCAGTGTATTCCTTTAAATGGCTTCGAAAAACGACTTACTAGAGTTACTGAGTACTTTGTATAGAAAAGCATTATGATTATCCACATGAACAGAGCTTCATTGTCCTCTGCAGTGCAATCACTCTTTTGGCCTTTTCTCCTTGTTTTATGGGAAAGTCCTTGGTTCTCCTTCCAAGTAGCTCTATACAATTTATAGTTCCTCATAACCCCTGTGCACTTCTTGAACTGGCATGCAGAAAGAGGATTGCAACAGCTTGTGGGGTTATGGCACACAGACCTTACTTACTGTCCCAGGACAGCCACTGGAAGCACTGTGCTTTCATTCACAGATTTCTGACTTTATCATAGATTAGTACTACTGACACCAAGAATTTTACTAGTGGTAGTACACAACCATTTAATTCAGGATTCAAGCATTCTCTTGTCATATACTGTATCTATAACCATTTATCCTTTCTTCAGCAATACTACTTATCTTTAATTATCCATGTAATATAATTACCTTGTTCTATCTGTAATTCCTCAGTGCTTAAAGAGCAGTCCATTGTGGTTTTTACTTCGATTTCTTCTTCATGTCCAAAATTACTGTCCTTTCTTATTATAGATTGCATACACCCATTTTCTTTCTGTACAGGCTGTATTTCACTGTCTTTTGAGTGTTCTTGACCACTCTAGCATAAGAAAGAAGGTTATACATATTTTAATAATTTACTACAGCTACTTATTAGATGTTTCACAAACAGAATTTAGTAAAGATAGACCATCAAAGATAGCCCCTATCTATTCTGTATAACTTTAGTAGTGAGGTAACATCTTAAGTTTCTATAAGCGCCCCTCTGGATGAAAAGGGAACATTCTCTGGGTACAGTAAGTTTTAATGAATCATTGATTACATCAGACCAATTTTTAGCTTTAGCAGTGTGAAAGGAAGATCAGTGGACATCAGATTAGAAAAACTGTCACGTCTCTCATTGCCTTGTGTTTTCACAACAAATGGAAAGTACTGCAGCTGTTAGAGACACTTACCTGCAGATTTTCCACTTGCTCAGAATGCTGATTTCCCTGAGGAGGATGATAGTCTTCAAAATGTCTATGAACTCCTTTAAGGGAACTCAGCTCATTTTTAATAGTGTCTAATTCTCTTCTCATGTTTTCCTCCTGTGATAATAACAAATCGCACAAACACAATCTTTACTGGATGTTCAAATACATACAACAGTGTTTTACAGGGGTAAATGCAAGTAAATCCTTAAGAGAAAGTATAGATGGTAATGATAAGAAATTATCTTCTAAATAACAGTTGCAAACATTCCTGAGAAATAAGCAGGGCCAGTTCCCATTTCTGTACAGTAAATGACAGCATAAGACTCTCCTAGGAATCTGGAGGATGAAATCTCAGGGCAGTGAGCATCAGAAGAGTTCTGCTCTTTTGCAGGTTCCCGGTTGCAGTCAACTCCATAGTGGCTGCACTCCAGAGAGTTAGCCTGAGACAACAGGATTAACAAGGACAACTTTGCATTATTTCCTCACAGCCTCGCTGAGAATTTCTCTACCAAATTTAAAACCTTTCTGACAGTAGCTGCCAATTATGTACAAATAAAATACAGACGACTAAACAAACACTGCTTAGAGTCTGGTTTCCACACACCAAACAGATCTTTCTTACTTGTAAACATGCATTTATTATTGCAGATAATTTTTACACCTACAGTATTTTGCTAATTATTTTGTATTAAATAATTACTGAAGAATTCTGTAAAAGTAATGAATTAGTATAAAGAATGGCAAATATTGAGGGCAAATCACTGTTCAGGCATATCCAGAGATGAATTCACTGAGAGGACATACAGCTTTTTACCTTTTCTTACCCCCTTTCACCCCAAAGCTCCCATTGAATAATTCCTCTTAAATCAGGACCTCTGCTTTAATGCAAGCCTCCGGTATCTGCACCTAATTCAGCCTGAGGTTGCTTTCTTTTTTTTCTCTCCTGGGCATATGGCCCTTCAGAGGTACCTTTAGTCTGTGTCACTTCAGTCTATGTAGGTTTATATTCCTTTTTTACTATATAATGGTTTACTAATAGTTTTTTCTAGGATACAAGAGTGCAGCCTAGAAATGCTGGTATTCTCTGAATAAGTTGTTTAAAAAATTGCCAATATTCTGAAAAATATATGAAATTCAACATACATTGAAAAGTGTTTCAGCTTCCATGTCTAGGTAATGGCAAGGGTGTAATTCTGAAATACTTGGATGCTAAATTCACAGTAACACCTAATATCCTGGCCCTTGCTTTACAGAACTGCAGGAAGTGCAGTGACCCTTTAGAGCATAGAAATCAACATTTCCCCTAAATCCACCTTTTAAAAGTATTCATTTCTAGAAGAGTCTGCATTACTGGAGAAGAAATTGCTTGGTTTTATCGTATTACTTCTGCAATATTTTCCTGGCTTTTAGGAATTACCTGAAATGCTTGATGACTATTTCAAAAACCTGCTAATATCCTAACATTTAATTTAATAAACCTACATCTTTTTTCCAAGTTCTTAGTGCTTTCTCATGCTCATACTGAAGATTAAGGAACTTTTCTTCATTTTCCTTTGCCTTCTCCCTTTGCAGCTCATTATCTCTTTCAAGGGTCTGCAATAAAATTAATTATCCAAAAAATAATCAATACCACATTAATGAATTTTGATGTGTTTTATGTTGCTTGGACCTTTGCTTCTAACATGCTGGAAGTGCCATACAGATCAGTGATAATGTGCCATCTCAACAATAATTTTCATAAATTAACAGAAAGGTGCTTATAGTTTAGCTAACAGGAAGCAGGGGGAGGTTATGAGAAAAGAAATGGCTATAAAAGGGTATAAAAACACTTGCCATTATTCAGATTCACTGCATAAGTTTTAATGTGCTGAAAAAGTAATATAAAGTCCAGAGATGAGAAATATGAAATGTAGCACAATCTAGACCCATTGTAGTTAAATAAAAAAACCTACTGTATACTCAGAGAAAATATTTTTATTTTTCTGATCAGTTTTTCTGTCCTAAATTGTTTATTAACCTATCTTATAAACTGTGTAAACTTTAAATTCTAAAACATATCTACTGGAACATCAAGTGTATGTCTGATTATCCTTTAATTTATTTTTATTAGATGACTGAAATAGGATTGCATTAAAGTAACAGTAATACTAAGTTTTATACTGTCATAATTGTACTTGAAACATTTTGAGGTTAACTCGGTTTTACTGTGCTAAATTAAAGCAGTCGTCTGTAAATCAACAGTAACTTCACACACATCTTGGGTACTGCTGGAATTTTTATGCTATCACATTTTTGAGTAAACAATATGGAAGGTAAAGGATTTAGTGCATCCATAATCTACTATACAGATGGCACAAATATATTTGATAATGTAAACATAATTTTAATGCATGTACTCATACGAACAGCTACAAATTTATGACTCTGTTGAGCTTTGAAAGTCCACTTGAAAATGTTATGGAAGCAAGGCAATTCTTTCTTACTTTATCTTTTAACTAAAAATGAGTCTACTTCTTCATTCACGTAGCTTCAACTTTAAAATGCCTATATTAATTTAGCTATAAAATTAGCATCAATATATAATTTACAGGTATTAACACTAAGGAAATCCAGACTATCTTGCATTTTTATACACATGAAAAAAGTTGTGCATAAGAATACAACGGATCTTCTCTGACAGATTATGTAATTAAAAAGATGAAAGAATCCAACAATACATTGTCTGAATCACCACACTTCGCTTTAGCACCATTCATCCAGTCCCAGGAACTACAAGTCCAAGGCCTCTTTGATGAACCTGCTCTAACGCCAAGGTTGCTTTTACTTGTGCCTCAAAGGCGACCTCCTCAGAGATGGAGGTTGGATGGAGATGCTTTTAAAAAAAGAACCAATATAAGAAAGAAGAAGAGGAGAACTCTGAAGATTTATACCGAGCAAGCGGGGCTGTTTAATTCCTAGCAAAATTGTAGCTGGTTTCTGATGGAGAATGTAACTCATCTTTAACCTTACTTGTTTCACCAAAATGCAAAATTCATATTAATTCATTCATTTGTGGCAGAATGCAAACTGCTTACATCTATTAAAAGACAAGGTAAAGGCTTATGTGAAGTGAATCTCTTTTCAATTTAGCATAGAAGCACTTACTTAGAAACCAAAGCATACATGTAAGCAGGAAGTTTAATTTGAAATTAACTTGAGATCCTAATTTAAAACCTTGACCTCACAGGCTAAGCACAGAACGGAGTAGGTGTGGCTAGTATGGTCAAAAGGTAGATAGTTATTAACAGTCCAACTTATGGTTGTACCTGAACTCTGCTCAGCACACCTCACCAGAACAGAAAGATCTTAATCTTTAGTGCACTGTAGGCCTATCTGACTGGTAACAGTTAATTTAGAATCTAAACTCTTCTGAGCCACTTTTAGATGCTCAAAGAGGAACTGGGGAACACTGCAACTCCACGCTCTCCAGCACGACTACTTACCACCTCTAGCAAAGTACGACAGCAGACAACACAGCAAGAAATGGCTAAGGGCTATGCTCTTTCTTAAACCTCTGCTCTAATAAAACTGGGGACAAGCTCGGGCTATGAACATCTGAAATCTGAAGTATTTTCTAGAAGAGAAATTTATACCTACATGAAAATTGTAAGAAACCAGTCATAAAATCATTTGATTTCAAAATATTTGAAAGCAAAATCCAATATGTTCTGCTTTTACCTTCCAAAAATGGCTGGTAAGAATGGCAATCATGACTTACTTTAGTGGAAGAATTAAAAGAGGGAAAAGATAGCCTGCACTTCAAGGTTCATGCTGACAGTTAAGGAGCTGAGGGAGCAATGGAAGTGAGGTCAAAAGTTCTGAAAAGCATTCAGATGTCTTTAACAGCCTCAGACTTAAAAAAAAAAAACAAAAAACAGAAAACCCCCAAAAATATAACAGATAGTAGCAGCTTTTTTAATCAAGAAAAATCTGACCTGATATTCTTCTTTCAGTGCCTTTAATTCACTTTCCATTCTAACATTCGTTTGGGTTATTCGCTGAAGCAGCTCCTGCACACATTGTAGAGAGCTGAGAATTTCCTTATCAATACAGATTGGGATATATGGAATAAGACTTTGTTCCTAAAGTTTAAACATTAACTATGCCAATCTAAAAGACATAAATTATCAATTTTTTTATTCTGCCAGTGTTTACAAAATATATATATATATATATATATATATAAAAA